GAACCGATGCATACTACTGAAATCCTGTATGTCGACTACAATAAACCTAGCCCTGTTGCTTTTGTGCCCATTGCATCGTCTCTCGTCCCTAATGTGCCTTCCAGCGTTGGTTCAAAACATAGAATGTCCTCTTCAGACTACGTTGGACAGCACCCCATTCCTAATACTCACAAGTTGCACCTTTCTGTCACGTTAACATTGGCCGAGTCTGAGTACAACAGAAAACTCGCAATCTTCCAGGTTCATTAGTTCTTGTTCTATTTCTGCATTTTTTTCCGTAAAAAGGATATATGCTGATAATTCTTTTGTATTTTTCTTGCCCGTGTGTAGGTGAGGGTTGAGAGCATGTCTGCAAGAAGCAAAGTACTAGCTAGTTCGAGCTATCCCACGATGCTTCAGATTAAAAGTCAGCCAATTCAACTGATAGAAACCATGCTCAAAACTGTTCCACTTGTAACCGGTTTGCAATCAGAAGTTCAGAAGCTGAAAATCGATATGAGGGATTATAAAGGATATGAACCTGTTCGGAATTTACTTAACATGCACAGCGAAAAATCAATTAAATTTTCAATTCCCACAACGGATCTACTTTGTGTTTAGATATAAACTGTATTTAAAATAATACCTCTGGTAAATTTTGCAAACTCTTTGCTGATCTTGGAATACGAACAATCATGATCTGCAATCCATAACTGTCCAATTGTCGAGCCTCCAATGAAAATCCAAGCATGGAACAAGAATGAGAGAATTAGGGTTTCTCTTTTCTTGTGCTTGCAAGAATATGAATTATTTTCTTTTTTTCTGAAACTCTAATAGCTTATTAATATAAGTCAAAGTGGATTTCACTAGTCTCTTAAACTTAACTCGATTCAATATTTTATTAATCAAATTAATTAAATTCGGTCAATGAATTAATTAATCCAATTAATTAATTAGGGCATATTTACAAGCAACTCAATTAATTAATTGTCCAACACTTGTTAATTAATTAATTGGTAAATCTCATTCTTCTTGTTCTCCTTTTGTGTGTGACCCATCAGGTTCTCAATCACGATACCTAACGACGTGAATTATTATTTTGATCTAATCAAAATCGATAAATTAAAATATCCATTTTAATTTATCACCAATTCACATTCGTCGTCCCAAATTAACATCTAGTAATGTGTCAAGGCAATACATGTGACGAAAAATGTCACGTGGTATGACAAAACCAAACAAGTTCGTTTATCGTGAAACTATAATCCATTCGTCAATATGATCCGATCAATTACGAAATATGGATGTGTGTCAATCTCAATTATCGATCATCTTTCATCTCACTATTAAGTCAATATAAGCCGAAAACTTTTTTTCGACTTATGAGTATACCTTGGCAAGGATTTCGTTATCAACTTAACTAAATGAAATGTAGATCATAATCTCTTACTATTTAAGAGTAACGAATCATCTATTGATCATTCACAATCTTCATATGATTCTTAACATACTAGAACAATGTCATATTAGCAACTCTTGGCAGAGTAACATCCAACATCACCAAAGTATGTCTATCCTCATATAATAAAAATATCAACGTGTTATAAGTGTCATCATACTTTAACTTGTGATATCAGTTACTTATTTCACAAGTAAGAAATTCCACACATGATGGTCTATCCGTAATAACGATATTCGTATCTCGTTATTACTTACGACCACGGATGATTTACGAATCAGTCATATGTAATTTATATTTGACAATATCAACTCCTTGTGATTAATAAATTACAAAGACTTGAATCTACGGNCTTGTCATAAATATGCATCAATTATTATATACTAAAAGTGTTTATATCCAAAGTTGATTGGACCTAGAGCATAACACTTACAGAACCAACAGCCTTTTTCAAGTTGATTATTGAACAGAGGGCGGAATTTCAAGCTGGTTCTTGTGTACCTGAAATTTACACTGCATCACTCGATATAGAATCGGAGCTTCCTGGATTAAAGAGAGCTATATGGAATTGGAGGCGAACAATTTTCGTGTGGATCAGCATTTCATCATTTATGGGTGAATTGATAGTCGTTTTACTCGTCTGCAGGCCTATTATTCTTCCCAGAGGAAGGTCCAAAGGTTTTGGCTCCGAGAAGAAATTTCAACAGAAAAACTTCCATGGAATAAAAGAAATAAAATGGAGGATATTTAAGAAGGATAATCTGTGATCTAAACTCGAATAATTAGCTCGAGCACAATCACTTTATAAATATGTTTGACGTTTAAGTAAGTATCAATGACAAATCATGGATCACTTTTTGCAAGAATAGGAGAAGTATAAGGTTTCCTTTGACAACATTAACTCGGACTTTGCATCGAAAACTACATCCTTGCATATCCCGGTCCCCCGTGTTCAAGTTCTTGAACTGCAGTTTCGAACATTTCCATCTGCAGAATAAGTTGAACTTAAGCATATATTTGTATTACGTATTCCACTTCTAAATAAATTTCCATAATCAAAGGGAAAAGCACTTACTTTAAGTGCGCAGTACACCTCTCTTTTCCAATTTCTTGATCTGTATTCCGTGGCTGAAATGAAAATTCACTAAGAATCACATTAAAGAACAAAATTATCAATATGCAAAATAAGTCCAAAAACCTTTATTCATCCCCTCTTGTGAAAGCCTGAAAGGATTGAGTCCACTGGAGAGACAGCATGAACAATTCCAGCTGCAGCTGGTTCTTCACCTTTATATCTTTTCCTATGTAAAATACATTTAGGAATTTCCAAATTTCATTGAATTTTATAAGGTTTGTATCAATGAATGCTTTGAACTATATCAGCAAATACCCTGTTAAAACTGCTTCTTGAAAAGTCGACAGGGGTAACTTTGAACGAAGCAAATCCATGTTTCCTGGTGTTAGAGCTAATCCCAAGTCGACCTACAGAGAAAACATAGTTCATATAATGGCAAATTTGGTCGAGAGGATCAAATAGTAATCGAAAGTATCAATGATGAAAATAAGCAAATGCACTCGAGTTATGAAGAAATGATAATAAGAACTTAATAAGTTAGTTAAGCCTCATTTGCTCATAACGATGCTTTATTCTCCGTTACCTCATTCACGAAAATGTAACCATGGCTAGAGCTCATAAGCCTGTAGTCGTGAGCCAGCGCCAACATACAACCTCCTCCAACAGCATGACCTCTACAGCACAACGTGGCTTCGAATTCAGTAACATTAAAAGTTTTATTTCAACTAAGACATTGATATTTAAATTGCTAAGAGTAATATGAACTCCTTATAAGGCCAAGGATGAATGAAAATTTTACCTTATTGCAGCTATTGTTGGGATACAAAAGGTTAAGAGCTTGCTTATAAGCTTTTGAAACATCAACACATATTCCTGCTCACAGCACATGATTTATAACATCAGAGAGAAGAAACTCGTCTTGACCAAAAAAGTACGTTCTGCTAAGCTTAAAAAAGTTACAAGTAAATAAGTAAGTTTTAAAATAAATAATTCTTTTAATTGGCAATAGTTAGAACAAAGCAAGAAATTTTTTTTCTGAAGAAGAAGGGCACACTCACGTAGGCTCTGTGTCGATCACATTTCCTCAAGTAGTTCATGTCCGTTCCATTTGAGAAGAATTTTCCCTACATCCCATGAGCAAATAAATCTCAGCTCTAAACTAGCAGGCGTATAATCGGAATTTACTCAAGGCAAGATTTTTTACCTCATTGATTGTGATCAGAGCACAAGCAGTTTTATCCTTCACTACCTGTATTCAAGTAAGATTATGACAAATCAAAATGTTTGATTTGAGTCGAACAGTAGACCCAAAAAAGGAGAGAATCAACTTCCACAAATAGAGAGTTAAAATTTAACATTATAATATATGGTATTTTAAGATCACGTATGTTTAGCTTTTAACTCGAATATCAATTTCGATAATTTCTGTATATCAATTTATACTCGACTCGTACTTGATTATCAGTAATTACTCAGCTCTTGCTTAACCTCCACCATATCCATGCAAGAACAAAAGCAATTTATTTGTGAATATGCAGAGATTTACATCTCCAAAACATTTTCAAATACTTATTTTGTATAAGCTTATAATGTTGTACCTGATCACGTAATTCATCAATCAACTGTATAGAAGATGGAGACAACCTAAAAAATAAAAAAAAAACATTACAGCTGAAGAGTCAAATGTTTCTTGGACAAAATTTTGCATGTCAAACAAACAAACTAATGAAAATTGAATTTTACTTACTTATTTTGGTGTTTCCCCCTCAGATTTAGAATATAAACACCCCCTTGGAGTTGGAGCCTTTTCAAATTACAAAATTCGTCTTCTGGACATTTTTTCCTTGTTTCTACTCTATTATAGACCTCAGCTGAATCTTCCACTTTCAAATTGCTGCTCTGCAATACTTCAAATTTCTATTTTTCCTTTTTTGAGCTTTTCTTGGAGTGCTTGCGTACATTGTAATTGGCCAAAAGAGTATTATTTATAGGCGAGGAGTGTAGCTTGTGTAGGGCGAGTCCTAGGAATGGACAAAAATAAAACAACTTTAATGTCTGGTACGACCAGAATACGATTACGAAGCATTTCGGTATGGCAAGAATACAACTTTTTAGGTCGACCACTACATTGGAGCAATAGCGAAGCTAATCTGTATAAAAGTGAGCAGCCCTTACACCCGTAGCAACAGCCTACTTATAGCCATATTTTCTCCTTTATTCAAAGACTTCAAAGATATCAGCTCTTAGGCCCTGTTTTGATGGGCACCTTGTCCATGAAATTTGGAAAATAAATTTCATTTCCACCCAATGTGTTGTTTGACAGCACAATTTTCTTGGGAAAAAGAATTCCCCCCCCTCTCAAGAGCCTATTTGGCCACTTTTTAAGGAATTTGATTTCCCACTTTTTTGGTGGGAAATCTGATTCCATCTTTTTTTTTTTT